CAGGAACGGGTGCCGGACAGTCCCTCCCCTGCTCCTTCCTTAGAAGACCACCGGAGGCCAGGCAGCCACCCGTCGTCCCACCGAAGCAGCAGCGTGTCCAGCTCCCCGGCCCACACGGAAAGCTCCTCAGACAGGATACGTACGTTTGTCACACAGATGAATGGTGAAGAACAAACGCACATTTGACTGCAGAATGCTGTTGTTTCTCTGTGATACCAAGACGAAGTAGAAATACGTCTTGCTGGCGATGTTCCTAACACCTCTGCTGTTTTAACATTCTCTCTCCAGCGATACACCACAATGGCATGTCCATGAACCACGCCCTGCTAGGCCTGTCCCCCAACATCCCGCCTGGGCCTAAAGAGGGAGACCTGGCCCACGACATGAGCCATGAAGCCAAGAGGATGCACAACGAAAAAGGTGAGATGGTTTTATTTAAAAGAGAAACACTTGATAGAGTGGTGTAGGCCACATGATACACAGTATACAGTTAAGGATTTCCCAATCCAAAAATGAACTGTGATTTGTATTGTTTCCTTTTGAAAGCATCAATTTACGTTTTTAAGTTAAAGACTTCTAATAAGCTTAGCTCCTCCTATTGAATGTTCACAATGTATGAACATGACAGATGTTAGGAGAAACAAGCCACGTTTGTGCTCTACTGGACCCGCACTACAGGAGGAGCCTTATAAAAGAAGTTGTAATTTTGAGAATGAAGTCTTATAAAGACTAATTATAAAGACTAAGGCTCAGCAATTTAAAGAGAGAAGAGTAGGTTTGTAAAATCAGTAGAGGCAGGAGAACACAATGAGCTTACAGTGGGTTCATTTTTCACCAAAGGCAGAACCATTTCTGAGACCATTGTTGGTAAAGGTGCTTTCAGGTGTTTCGAAGATCACACTAATTTTAACACCAAATAATTAAAGAAGAAAGAAATTAGCAGAAAACATTATTTTTGTCTGGTATATTTTCCTAGATCTTGAATAAGCCTGTGATTATTGTTGATGTTAGAAATGGGAAGGCAGGAGTTGTTTCACCCTCCCGATTTATCCCAGTTGTGTCAGTGTAACAATAAACCGAAACCACTGTAGCCATTCAAACACTCAGTTTAATATTTCTTTTCTTACAGTCTACAAATCAAACATGCACTTCAGAGGTAAGCTATACAAGTGTAAATATGAGTGGATGTTTGTAAATGTTTGGATGAAATGTTGCACACACTTTGCTTGCTGTAAAATCTCTGTTTAAGGAACTCCACAGAAACGCAGTGTTAGTATGTTTTCCTGCTGTAAATAATACACCTTTATAAAAGATTTTATTTTGGTGATATTAGACAACTTCTAAAAATGGAAATACATACTGTAGATAAGACATTGTTTTTTCACCAGAAAGAAATGTGTGTATAAAATAATGCTCAGATGTGACCTTCCTGTACACCCATTAGTCTAATTGTGTTACTGAAAATCTGATTTGACTTTTTAAATCAAAAGTTTTAGTTATATACCAAATTAATACTGCTATGTTTTACAAATATGTGGGAAATAATGAGCGCTTTGTATAATGCACTTGACTTGCTGACATTTGCTTATTCCTATAATCCTCATTAACTCTGAACTTAAAGGGAAACATATTCAAAACCTCTATCTCATAGTCTAGAGTAAATGTTTTTATTATTAATTGCCGGCATTATTTCATTACAATTTCGCCGTGCTTGTAAAGAAAAAAAGAGAAAAGAAAAAAGATAGAAATCTACTAAGCGTGGCGGATTAAATACAAAATGAAGCAAATAATAGATTTCCGTATTCTCTGTTGGTTTTGAGCGGGGCGGGGGGGCTGTGCTGGGTGACGAAGGGTGGGGTTGAGGCTGATAATGATATTAAAACCACTGTGGAAATCATTGGGCTGTATGTTCCCTGTTGGCTAGGCTGACGTGAAGATCAGTGCTAGACCTTCACTCACAGGGTGTGAAGCAGTGAATAGTAATAATTAGCAGGATCATGAGCTGAATTTATGGGTCACAAACCGTCTAACTGTCTCTGCACGTGTGTGTGTGTGTGTGTGTGTGTGTGTGTGTGTGTGTGTGTGTGTGTGTGTGTGTGTGTGTGTGTGTGTGTGTGTGTGTGTGTGTGTGTGTGTGTGTGTGTGCATCGAGCATACAGAGCACCGCAAACAGAAAAAGGAGATTTAATCAAGTATCCACATATTAAATCACCTGAATGTTTCCTCAGTAACAGAAATCTTTCTTCTTAACTGAAGTGCCTCCTCCACACTCTGGTAATCAACACAAATGAACTGTAATTTCTATGCAATATTCCAGCAGAAAGCAAATGACCCAGCAATCCAAACCAATTCGAGCTAGTTGACCCACACACATCTGTCCACAAACACGCGCCACATTATCTTTTGAGATTGTCAATTCCTAATATGTCACTGGACTTGATTAGGATTCTGAGCTCTCCAGTGTGTGCACCAGAGGTCTCGGGCTGTGGAAAACATTTTTATAAAATAACCCATTAATGCAGAGGAGTGCAACTAAATTAGTTACCAATTTGCTGAGCATGAATTAATGAAGAGAGCTTCTCTCGGCTCCCACAGTTGTAATTTTCATAATAACCCCAGACCTTTATTTGGCAGGTTGTTTAGTTTTTTCGTTTGAAGGTTTTCATTAGTCTAATGAGGACTGTGCAAGGGCGAGCAGTCAGCACAATTTACATGAGGAAGCTATCATAATAAATGAGGCAATTTGAATAACATGCACAGGTTTATGCAGCGAGATAAGAGAGATTGTAGCAGCCAGATTCAGAGGTAACCAATACATTAGAACAAACTAATAACCAAAGTAATTCCAATAAAAGCTTTAAGTGAAGGGAATAAAATTAATGATAGATATATTGAACTGTAATGATATGATACATGATGCATTAGATTAATAAAATAAATGTGTTCCATTGTTAAAGAGGGGTGAGGCCTCGCCATCCGAAGCTTTGTTTATAGTGAGATTTTTAATTAGGCTTGTTCATCGCATCAGTTTGTTTAGATAAATGAGATAACATTCCAATGGTTTAATGATATCTCTCCACTTGTTTGATCTTTATGATCCTGGCAGAGCATTAAATTAATCTCTTGCAATGCACTCTCTCAGAAGAGAGCAGTGTAGGCGCAGAGGAAGGATGCGGTGCCCCGGCTCATATGGAAGCTATTTAAATAGCCAGACACCTCAGAGACTGCCACTATAATGTCACATCACTCATATCCTATGAACATTCCTCTTCTTTTTCATGTCATCTCTGCTGATGAAGGACAAAGGCTGTTTGTTGTTGTCTAAAAAAGACCATTTCCAAAGTTGTGTCACCCAGTGCAAAGTAACCAGATGGTAGTTTTTTTGGGGCTGTTGTTTGAACTTGATTATTTTGTGTCCAAATTTCCCCGAGAAAAAAAAGGGGAGATTAGATGATGTGTGAGAAAAAAGGCTAGTAGAAAGCTAAATGTTATCTCACATGTGACTAATTGAATTGCTTCAAACAGAAAGTCTGTGGCGAAAGCTTCCGACAAGCCTCTGTCTCGTGAAACAGCAGGTAGCTGACAAACAAGGGGGACATTTGAAAGGTAAAAAAAGCCTTTGGCTGTAAACTTACTTTGGACATCAAACACTTGACATCATTTTATTTCCTCAGGGAGAAGGTGTTTGAAACACAAGCCATATGTATGTACGTTGAAGTATAAGACTTTTCTGTAAATACCATGTGGCAGTTTAAGCATTTTGCCAACAACAAATTTCCCCACTTTGCCTCAGCCCTCCCACTGCAGTTAAACATGCCACATCTCTTTTACGCAGAGCTAGAGCGCCTGACAGGAGAGGCAGAGGCAGCTACAGTATGTAAACTGATTCTGTAAACCATATTTTAAAAGCTGGTGATTCACTGGTAATGTGATCTCGGCACTCCGATGGTAAATGTTATATATCCTTGTTGACATAACAGGAGATGCACTCGTAATGTCCTCCCAAGCACAAATGGATGCCTGTGGTGTGTTATGTCACCTAGAGGTGCATCCTTTCATACCTGCTATCAACCCTTGATGCATTGGTGTGACCACAATGGACTAAGCTGATTTGCCACGCCTTTCTTCTTTGTCAGGATGCTGCCTACATGTCCAGTTGCTGCTGCACTATCCGCAGCCCCAGTTTACCGTGTGAATGATGAGCAGGTAGCAGTCACAGTCTATTACACACAGCTGCTTTGGGCAAGGACCTGTGGACATTGATGAGCTCATGTAGAGAGGGGAATATATTTTTGAAAAGATGAAAAAGTTATTTCTATCCTTTGTAGTCTTTGTTCTGCTCCTCCTTTGCATAAGCATTTGCAACGATAAAAAAGGAAGTTAGGGGACTTTGGGTCAGGCGAAAGTTTGAGCATCCATTGTGCGCTCTTTGTGGCGTAAATATTTCACTGACATTGATGGTAATCTTCCAACAGTATCATTAAAAGTTAGATATGTTCAGTGTAAGCTACTTCTCTTCATCTCCCTGACTTTAATGCATAGTGTTTTGTTCAGTGCTCCCGATGTCCTTGGCGTTGCTAGCTTCAAACACATGCTGACTACCTGACTTTCCCTAAGTCAGGAGGCAAGATCATTAGCCATCACAACCCTGAAATGTGACTTGGCAGACAATAATGCTTTATGATCAAACAACTTGTCAGTGCGTCCTGTTGAAATGAAAGAGTGCAAAAAAATAATTCAATAGAGGATCAATCAAATTTCCCCGGCCCATGTGAGAGATTGCTGATGGTGCAGAGAGGGGCTATTCCTCGAGGACATGGGAGTTCATTTGGATATTTGTTCTCCCCCTCATGAATGTTCCATTGCGTGACACCATCTCCTGCTAATCACATTTCACTGAAAAGGGGGGATGCTTTTAGGGACGTTGAAAAGAGAGAGGTTCTTTTTAATCTTTGAAATGCCTCAAAAGTGACAGAATGCTTTCTCCTGCCAAGACGTGAGCCTCGGATGGGGAGATAAATATGCTGTGGTCAGCTAAGTGTATCTAGTGAGCAGAGAGGCAAATTTAATAATGCATTATCATTCACTGGCGAAGGTGAAATCTCCCTGTCCATCAGAAGGCTGAGGCCTGTTTCATGTTACCCTTCACTGAAAATGAACAAGTGCTTTACTCAGCCATACCAGAGATGCACAGTAGGCACCGGTGCTCTACTATATATGCTGCTCTGGACTGTCAGGAGAACAGGTCTGTTATCACAGCAATCATCTCCCGCTCTTGACTGGAGACATTAATAATCACAGTCCTTATTCCTGATAAAACAGTTTTGAACAATAACCTTCTTTTTCCCTTTTTTTCTTGTTGTGTTCTCGCTCTCTGCGAACACAAGGTGCGTTTTACATATCTGAGCATCTGCTATTAT